AGGCTGAGGGACTGTGGGTCAAGGCCTTGTAGTGTGGCAGGTGGGCGCCCAAACAGAATCTCAAAAGGGGAGATTCCCATATCCCTTCTTGGTCTTGTTCTTATATAGAATAAGGCAATGGGCAAGACTTGTGGCCAGGAGAGGTGTGTCTCCTGGCAGAGTTTCCCCAGTAGTGTTTTTATCTCCCTGTTAGCTCTCTCTATTTCTGACGACGAACGCGGCGAGTAAGGACAATGGAGGTTTTGAGTTATGCCTAAAGCTTGGAATATATATGTGAGGACCTGTGCTACGAAATGGTTTCCTCTGTCTGTATCTAAGATTTGTGGTACACCGAATCTGGGTACTATATCTTTAATAAGGTGTCTGGCAGTTTCCAGGGCCGTGGATTGGTGGCATGGAAAAGCCTCCACCCAGTGTGTCAGCTGGTCTCTACACACGGGGGCATACTGGTATCCATTGGCCTTGGGCAATTGGATATAGTCCATTTGCATTGCCTCAAATGGCCCATGGCCTACCTCCCTCATAGATGGCTTTCCTGGATGTGCTATTATTGGCTTGGCATGTCTGGCAGGTGCTGGTTACTCTGGTTGCCTGTGTATATACCTGGTGCATGCCATACCCTCCTAGCAGCATCAACTATTGCCTGGGTCCTGCAGTGCCCTTTTGCATGTAGCCTCTGACAAATTAAGTGTATGAGGGGACGTGGGGCAATAGATCTATCATCTGGGACTCTCCAAAACCCTTCTGAAAATGTTGCCCCTAATTTCTCCTCCCACATCTGTGCTTCTCCCTGCTCCAGGAAGTCCCTCTACTGAATTTCAGGATCAACTCATATTGTTGGGGCAGCGATATTGTAGGGAAGAGGTTCTGTAGCTGCCCACTTGGCTGTTGTGTCAGCATATTGATTTCCTTTAGTGACCAGGGAATCATCCGTTTGATGGGCTCTACAATGGATGACTGCGATGGCTTTTGGTAATTGGATAGCTTGTAATAGTTGGGAAACTTGGGTGGCATGTGCAATTTGTTTTCCTGCTGATGTTAGGAAACTCCTTTGCTTCCACAAGGCTCCTGCAGCGTGGCAGACTCCAAATGCACATTTGGAATCTGTATAAATGTTAGCCGATAGATCACTTGCTGCTTCACAAGCTTTTGTTAGAGTGATGAGTTCAGCAGCTTGAGCGCTAAAAGAGGGGGAAAGTGATTCTGCCCAAATGATCTCGTAAAGAGACACTACTGCAGCTCCAGCAACCCTGTTTCCCTCATGGATAAAAGAAGAGCCATCTGTAAAACTTCTAAATCCGGGTTTTGCAAGAGGGTGTCGGTTAAATCCGGGCACGGTAGTTCTGCATCCTGTATTAGGTGGAGGCAGTCATGGATGGGATCATCTGTTTGAACTGTGGGTAGCAGGGTGGCTGAATTTAATGTGTTACATCTCTCAAACGTTATGTGGTCTGAAGTGAACAATTCAGCCTCATATTGTGCTAAACGTTGTTGTGTGAAAGCCTGGATCTGGGATTTTAGAAGAATGGCAAAAACCTCATGAGGCACTTTTAATGTCAGAGGTTGCCCCAGAACTAGATCTCTGGTTCTCTTTACTATTTCAACAGTTGCCGCTACTGCTCTTAAGCATGGGAGTGTCCCTTGGGCTACTAGATCTAATCTAACAGAATAATATGCCACTGGTCTATGTCCTGGACTGAAGCACTGGGTCAGGACTCCAGACACGATGCCTAGTTTTTTGTGGATGAATAGGGTGAAAGGCTTGTTGTAGTCAGGGAGACCTAGCGTGGGAGGTGATGCCAGGGTCTTTTTAATTGCTAAGAGGTTTTGTTCTAGGGATTTAGTCCATGTTATGGGATCTAGCATGACCTGTTTTGTTATTTGTATTAAGGGTTTCACCAGTTCCCCGAAAGATGGGATCCAGGGGTGGCAGAATCCCAGGACCCCCAAAAGCGCTCTGACTTGTCTTTTAGTGCAAAGGTTTTTCATGGATAATATGGTTTCCACTCGGCTTGGAGCCAATTTCCTTACTCCAGGGCCAATGATATAAGCTAAGTATGTCACTTCCTCTCTTAGGTATTGTAGTTTTGAGGGGGAGGCTTTGTGTCCCCTCTGCCAGAGATTTCAGCAGGTGAAAAGTGTCAATTTTACATGCCTGTTCGCCTTTAGAGGCCAGCAGGAGATCGTCCACGTATTGGACTAAGGTTGATTCTTCTGGCAAGGTGACGGAGGATAAGTCTGCCTTCAGGATCTGGGAAAATAGGGTGGGGGATTCCATGTAGCCCTGAGGCAAGCGGGTTCAAGTATAGTGCTGTTTTTCCCAGGTGAAAGCAAAAAGGTATTGGGAAGCGTGATCCATGGGAATACTAAAAAAAAGTGGAGCACAAATCTATAACAGTAAAATGGGTAGCTGAAGCTGGCACCTCCGTAATTATCATGGCCAGATTAGGCACTATTGGTGCTCGGGGCATCACGTGGCGGTTGATAAGGTGCAGATCGTGCACAAATATGAAAATGGGGTTGTCGTCTTTGTCTAACTTGGATTTTTTTACTGGGAAAATCAGGGTATTGTATGGGGAGGGTCACTTACGCAGAACCCCTTGCTCTAAATAGGCTTTAATCAGTTTATGTATGGGCTGGATGGCTTCAGTCTGGATTTTATACTGTGGTATGCAGGGGGGCGGTCCTGGTTTTACTCTAATCGTGACTGGTGTGGCTCCTTTAAGGAGCCCTACCTTTGTCGCGTTCCATCCCCATAAAGAGGAAGGTAGGGTGGCCAAATCCATATGTAATGATGTGTATTGAGTGGCCAGTAGAAAAGTTTTCCTGCCTGGGTTGTCTAGGGCCAGATCCTCTTTTCCACACCTGATGGTTGCTCCTAATTTACATAGAAGGTCTCTTTCAAGGAGAGAGATTGGATATTGAGGGCATATGGTGAAAGAATGTTTCAGTGAGAAGGGACCTACTTCAACTGTTACATCATTTGTGAATTGTACAGGAATAACCTTTCCTCCTACTCCCATTATATTATCATGAGCTCCAGGTTTTATTGAGTCCCTATGTGGTGGTTGGACAATTAAAGAGCGGTAGCCCCGGTGTCCACCAAACAGTCATATTCTTTCCCCCCTATGAACAGAGAAATCATGGGCTCTCTCCCTCTGGGCCACTCCTTATGGGAATCGCAAGCCCTTGAAAGGTAGCTGTAAACTCGTAGTCTTCTTTTCCTAGTCATAGACCACGCGGGTCTCTTTCTGGTTCCCAATTGGGGTTATCCTGTCCATCCTGCCAGATGCGATGGAGTGGGTTACTGTCTGGGAATGGGGCTGTCGGGGGTTCCATGTTATAGTTATTTCTCTGCTCATTGGTGTTGAAAGTGTCGCTCCTCTGCCTAAAGTTTCTGGGCGTTCCTGATATCGGGAACATGTGGAGGTTTTAAAACAGTCCCAACTTGAATGCTCTACTTCTCCACATTTAAAACAGTGTCGGCACATGTGGGGGCTCTTTGTCCTTTCACATTACCGGCATTGGCGCTATAATTAAATCATCTCTGCAGGGGTCTCGTGTCATGGTGCATGGCCACAAATATCTGCAGCTCTTCGTGTCTCTCTAACTTCCTTCTCCTATCCCTCTCTTTCTCTTCTTCGATTTCTTTCCTCTCCTTCTCTTCCTCTCTCAGTTTCTCCCTCTAGTCGTAAATGAAGTTGGCGATTCGGCGCGACTCTGATATTTCTAACAAGGACCAGTTAGAGACTATCTTATGAAAATGCTCCTTAATGTCTCGGGTGGATTGGTCAACAAAAGCCGAAGCTAAAATCCTTTGGTCCTTCTGGCAGTTCACATCCAGGTGGGCATAAGTTATGGCTGCCTCTGAAAGTCGGACCCAGAAGGCATTGGGGTTCTCCTGATCTCTCTCGGTAACTCGCTGGAATTCTGACCAATTTAGGGTTTTTTTCCTGATCTGTTCCAGGGCTTCCATTAGGTTTTGTTTTGCCTGGTATAGGTGGCCCAGTGGTTATCATCGTTATAGTCCCAGTTAGGGCACTCAAGGGGCCAGGCGATCCTGGGGCAGACAACCTGACCCGGGACCCTTATGATTGGTTGTTTAGCAATCTGGTCCATTTTCTCAAAAAGTTTTAACAATTCGTCTTTGGTCAGGAAAACATGCAGTAGTTGGTTCATGTCCCCCCAGGATGGATTGTGACTATCTATAATGGCTTTTAGGGTCCTGATCACAGTTTGGGGGTCTGCTCTAAAGGTTGGGACATCTTTCTTCCAGATCACTAAATCTGAGGCAGAAAAGGGTGTGTGTGTCAAAACATAGTCAGGTTGGCCCCTCTGTCTCCCTGGCATGGGTCTACTTATTAGGGGGGGCATTATTTTTGCCTCTCTGTCTTTTTCTACCTTAGGTGTGTTGTTTTCTATTAAGGATTCCTTATTCCTAGCTAGTTCGGCCCAGCAGTACCAGTATGGTATGTGGCTGGGTTTCAATCTTGGTCTAAGTGCTTTTAGAGTGTTTATATCAAAAGTACCGCTGTCTGGCCAAATTTGTCTCCCGGTGCTATCTCTAAGCATTGCCCATATTTTGCACAATTTCCTGGCTTTCCTTTTACTCATGCCAGGTAACACTGGTGTCTGCCTGGTGTCCCAGGCCACAATCAATTCCTCCAGGGAATTTCCCTCTACCCTCGAGCTACTGTTTCCCATGTTCCTTGGAATATAAGGTTCACTTTGGCTGTAGCCGGGCACCACTCCTACAGTTTTCAGAAAAAAGGTTCTGGGAAGGACTTCGATTCCCTGACGAAGTATGGGCCCCTTCCTTTTAGAGAATTCATCTAGGTTTTCAAATCAAAAAGGGATCTTGGGGGACCTCACTGCCCCTACAGTTAGTACTAGCACCTTGTGGGATTTACCTGTCGACCACAATTGGCGCCCGAACAGGGACTGAAAACAGCAATTCCAGCCGGAATTGCTTTTCTATGAACCTTGAGGCAGAGACCTGAAATGCCTGGACAGAGAGGAACGTTCCTGAAGACTTCGGTGCACCAGGAGTGAGTATATGTTTTCTCTTTGGTGGTTTGGATTTGTGTATGTTTGTGTGTGTATGGCCTGTATGATTTGTGTGTATAATTAGTGTAATACAGGTTGGTTGGAAGCTTGTACAAAGGTATTAGATAAGGTGACTATGATTAATTATTGTAAGGAGGTTTGGCTGACGTTTGTGTTGATACAGCCTAATTATAGGTGGAGTAAGTTTGGGGAGTCAGACCCATATTGGATCAATGCTTTGAAGAAAGTTTTGGTGAAAAAAAGAAGTTGAAAGTTCAATTGTTATATATTGAACCTCAGTTCCATATTCAGTAGTTTAACTCCTCTTCCCTGAGAAGTTCTAGAGTTTTGTATGGGAAAGGAAGAGACTTCAGCAGGGCAGTAATATAGGCAGCTGGAAAAGGAGTTGGGTGAATTGTTAGTAACTGTGAAACAGAATCCATCCACTTCTCCTCATGTTACATGTTCACAAACTAAAGGAATGTTTCCTTTAAGAGGAATGCCGAATGGTATTGCGGCTTTTGTGAATGAGTCTTTGACATCTTCTGATCTGGAAGATTATAAAAAAATATTTTTTGAGAACGGAATTGTTAATTTGAGTTATGTGTTGTTTATTCTTGAGACCCAATCTGTTGTAAGAGTGTACAGTTGAGTGTATAGGGTTGTGTTTGTTTTGTGGGGGGAGGGGTACAAAAGTGAATGGGCTGTTTGGTTTTTTTGATGGGGGGGGGGGGGGGGGTGTTCAGCTTGGGGGGATGTTAAGTCTCCATAGATGTGGATGGAATAGGTGGGAATAATAATTTTTTGTAGTGATGAGGGAGTTGGAGGGAGTTTAGAGGGAACAAAAGTTTTTTTTTGGAAGGTGGGGTTTTGGGGGGTTGTTACAAGGAAAATATTAAGGGTTTTTGTTTAATATTATGGTTTTGAATAAGCAATGGTCTTTCTGAAAGGCTTATGAGTTTTTTGTTTGTGACGAAATCATGGCCAGACATACAGAAGCTATTACTGATATTGCTGCTCTGTTGAAAGAAGCTTAAAAGGTCTATGTGAATAGGGATGAGGCCAAGACTAGAAGAGGAAAAGGTTTTGTGAAACTTCGATTGCAATGTGGCGACAGTGTCCTGGAATTGGGAGAGGATTACACCAGTGGGAAAAAAGTCTAGTGTTGGTGGATTGGAAAGCAAAAAGTGTATTATACATTTGGATGTGATATTTGTTCTAGAAGTAGGTCTTAATCTGCTTGGGAGAGATGCATTGTCTCTTCTGGGATGTGAGCTTGGTATACAGATCTTTATTGTTCTTGGATGAGGCAGAAAACTCTGTAGGAATGTAGTAAGGAAGGTTTATTGTTCTTCTTACCTGAGGTTGAATGCGAATATTTTGTCTTTGATTAATGTGATGTGATGGTGATATGTGTGTGCCGGCTAATTAAGTGACCTTCTTGGCTTAAGTCTGGAGCTGTGGAGGACAGGTGTGGTTAGGGCCCAAAATCAAGTTTTTGATTAAAAACCGCATCCTGAAATTTTCCACTGCTTGAGGAATGGGCTACAAGATGTCAAGGATAAAACTGAAATGGGTATCTGAAGGGATGGAACCTTTCCAGGTTTTATTCCAGGTTTGCAAATGTTGTTAAATGGTATGTGTGTGTAATGAGAGTTGTTTAGGCAATAGAGCTCATTGTCTTGAAAAATAATAATAATGAGAATGATAGTAAAGCTCCTTGAAGTATTTATGCTGACTAATTGGCAGGGAAAAGGCATGTGTGTGTTGGAATACACTAAAAGTCTGATTGCAGAATAAATATGAGTGTGTGTGGTAAGCCCTTAAATGGGGGTGGTAAGGTGATCCTGATATTTGTGAATGCCTGTGCATTGAACCCCTGAGAAATTTCCTTTTGTATATATAAATAGTGGATGAAGGGGTGTGTAAGTGAATGGGAAATGGATTACTAAGATGGAGTGAGAATTTTTACTAAAGTAGTGATGTGGAATGTGATTGAATGAGTGCATGAGGAACCTATTGGGGAACGCAAGCACTTATTGATTTTATTAAATGTATATGCATATATGTGTCTAGGGGTGTGTATACAATAGTTATACAAATGGTACGGAAATGAATACATTGTGTATGTAAAAAATATGTAGAGATTTGACCATTTGGCCTTTTCAATGAATCTAAGTAGATTACATTGAAATGCTGGTGGTGTGACCATTGATATATATAATAATAGTGGATTATTTTACTGGATAGGTTGAAGCCTTTCTTTGTGTAAAGATAGGTGCTCAGAAGATTGTTAAATCATATTAGAGCGAATAATACCCAAATATAGTGATAGGGGTATACATTTCATTGTCCAAGGTGATGAAGGTTATGGAACAATTAGGAATTGATTGGCAATTACATTTATTGTTTAAGCTAAGTTCTATAGGGTGTTGTGAATGTGCTAATCAGATAAGTAAATCTATGTTATAAAAATTAATGTTAGAGTTTCAACTACTTTGAATGAAGTGTTTGCCTTTAGCTCTATTAAGAATAGGAACTAGTCCTAGGAAAGATCTGGGGATATCTACGTATGAAATGATGTTTGGATGGCCATATGTGGGGAAAGTTGAGATGCCTAGGATAGAACTGAAGGATGTTTTTTCTGAAAATATATATACAGAGACTGTCCCAGTGTTTTTCTTCTTATTTAAGGTAAAAAGGACAGAATCTACCTCTTGATTTCCAAGCACATGAATACAAAAGTGGAGACTGGGTCCGATAAAAGCCATTACTGAGAAGAAGTTGCAGCTGGTGTGGAAGGGACTGTTCCAAGTTTTGCTGACTACTGAATCGGCTGTAAGGATTAAGGAACAAATTTGGGTATGCTATTCCAGAGTCAAGGGATTGGTGGCTTTGCATTATGGAAGGACAGTTGCTACGGAACCTGCAAACCCTCTTAAATTGACTTTTTGATGACAAACCTTAGACGATTGGGGACCAATGGATGAAAGAAGAGTTTTATGAAGAGATTTGTATTTGGCTAGGAGTGGTAATAATTCTTGTTGTGTTTTTGATTGTATTGAGGAAAGATATTATTGATTGGTGTAAATCTATGTTTTGATATCCAGTGGATGTAAGTTCTCCTTGATTGATTGATGTTGGGGGAGCTAGTTCACTAGGAATAATGGGTTTTTTTTTGTGGTAATGTTTGTTATTCTACAGGTGTGGATAGGAATGGGGATTTTGGCTGTGTTGCCTAGTTACCCTATAACATGGTAGCAGCTATGTTTCCATACTGAATTCGAGCACCGTTATTCTTTTATAGAAACACCACTAACCCTAATAGACACCACTGAGGAAGCTGAGATATGTATTAAGTCATCTTTTGAAGATGGTGTGTGCCAAGTGCAAACGTACATATGAGATAGTTCCTCAATACATTGGCCTTACAAATAGAATGGAATTTTTATATAAGCAATGCACTGAGCTATTTGGTAATTATAGGAGTTTTAGATTTTGGAGGAAGGGTTACATTTTCTATGTTTAAGGATACAAGTTCCTTCCAAGTTAATGTTTTTATGTGGTAACATGGCATTGACCAAATTACCTATTGTATGGAGAAGAGTTTCTATACTGTTACAGGATATTCATAGTTTACAGAAATAAAAGATAATGAAGAGGAGAATTGGGGATTGTGAGAAAAATAGGAATTATTCCTGTAAAAGCATAACCTGAGTTACGCCATTTTGAAATCATGTTAAGGTTTTGTTTTACCTTGTATAACCTGATTATATAATTTAGCTGACATTTAAGAACATGAGAAAGGAAATGTGTAATTCCTGTTTTTGAGAAGATGTTTGTCTTGCAGGAAATACGTTCCTGGGTTAACTTGCCCTTATTAATTAAAGGAAGTACGCAATTGATGTTTTTGAGGGGTATTTCTGTTGGGAATTGGGGAATTTCCAGGGTGGAATTATGTACTGCATATGTTATATAAGATGTTATGTAAGATCGGGAACTGATTCCCAAGGTACTTTATTGACGTGTATTCTGAATGTCCTGAAGACTATAAAAACTTGTGTAAATTGTTTTATTTCCGTCTTTCTCTACTTTAGAGAGAAAGGCCCTTTGCAAAGAATAAACTTTGTTCCAGGATTATTTCGGTCTTTGTCTCTTTAAAACGATAATGGGATTTACCTGTCGACCACACACCTCCCTCACTTCAATACTCACTACTCACATATACATTGGTCTGCTTTCTGGAATACACTGGGGACTCCCTTTATTTTTTCCTTTTACCCCCCCCCCTTCCACTTTCTCCTTGCGTTCGCTCGGCTTTCGTTCCTTTCAAACACAAAGTTCCATGTTTGGCTTCCCCCCCTTGCTTTCTCTATCCTACCGGTCACAGCTCGGTGGAGCTAGCAGTAGGCAGAGGTGCGGCTAGAGGTCACTTAAAGAGGTGGAATCAGACTGTTATCCAGGTGAACCCCCCCCCACACACACACGCACACACACGCTTTTGTCCCCCCCCTAATTTAAGGGATGTTAAAATTTAGAGCGGTACTCACCTGTTTTCCAGCAGCTCATTGGGGGCAAAGCTCAAAATCTCCCTTTACTACCTCTTTTCCTCCTGGGCAGGGTCCGTTGATTTTTCCCTGGATGAAGATGGTCCGTGCCGGCTGGGTTCAATCTCCAGCCCCATCCAGTTGGTTAGGTTGGCTGGGAGTCCCTTCGTGGTCTCCAATTGTTGAATCTCTGGAGAGGATTCCCCCAAAAGGGTTCAAATTTCCCAGCTGGGAGAGCGTCACAGGCACGATGAGCAAATTAATGAGCGAAGCGAGCTGCATGAAAACAGGATTCTTTTTATTATCGTTTCAGGAAGACGGATCTGGCAAGCGCATGAACCAGCGTTCCTGGGTGAGCTGACATTGTTACAAGGTAAGTGTACATTTTTATACTTTTCTGTACAAAGGAAATTCTTTGTTTCTTTTGTTGCTTTTGTGGATCATCCTTTTGTGTGTGTGTTCATGGATCGTCCTGCGTTTTCTTATGCTAGTTCTTCCCTATTTGAGACTGGGTAGTTTTTTGGTCATCTGGTTTTGTGTTCTTTTGTTTCCTTCTGCTCTTATTATTTGTTTCTTGCCTTAAGCTGATCATGTTGTTATCAGATAAGTCCTTACCCCTGGCTTAACTCTTATCAGATCGCTTGGGCTATTGCTTAAATCTTTTCCTTAGCTAATCCTCTGCCATTCCTTTGTCTGTCTTCTAGTTTCTGCTGTTTCAATAGTTTCTTTCCTGACATGTCCTGAGTCTTTTGTGTGTGTCATTTCCATGGGTCCTCTTTTGTTCCTAAATGGCCCTGATGTTTATGTGTTCTATTTTGGGAAGGTTGTTTTCCTATGCCTGTGGCCTTTACCTTTCTGAGTTGATCTTGTACTATGAGGTTTTATTATGTCTTACTGGCCCTGGCACTGTGTTGGTGGTGTTCAAATAAGAAGCTTTATCTTTTGTCAGAAAGAGATGTAGCTTCTTCAAGAAAAATCTACCGAGAAAGTTTACAACAAGAGTCTGGATTCATGAACCCAAATGCTAATATCTCTGAGCTCTGAAAGAACTCAGATGTGGAACTCAGAAATAGTATTTTTATAATATTTTTTTAAAAATTACAATTCCAATGATTATATTTCAGTTTTTATACATAGCACTCTGTGCCTTTGTTTTGTAGTGATCAAAGGCTATGAGCTATTGCTTATTTTGAAGATAATATAACCATCTGACTCACCCAATGCTAGCCTGCTATGGATCTAACACCATTTCATTGGGGTTCCTAATGTTCTTGTCAGGTAGATTTCCCCATTATCCTTTTTGTTCAATTCTTAGAAGCAATTCTACCACCCCATCATTTGTTAGATGGACTATTGTTAATCAAGGATTTAATTCTTTTCAGAAGAATCTTAAACCCATATTTTAAGAGTATCCTGTCATAACAGCTAATAGGAGCTGCAAATGTAGTACAAGGGAGATCTCCGTTTCATGGTGCAACCTGATCAATTGATAGGTAGCTATTTTAAAATATGCATTTGATGCTCTCTTTTTTTTTACATTTTACTGCATTTTTATTAATACTAACATGCAAATATGTTTAATTTTATCAACCATTTACATTTTTATTTCTGTGAATAATTGGGGTTTTTTTGAATTTTTTTTATTTAAAACAAAACATAAAACCTCCATCACTCAAATACAATCACCGAAAGTGTGTCGGTTGGTTAAAATTCTTTTGTGCACAATTCCATATTCAAAATTACCAATTATTTAATTTCTCTTATTTAACAGTTTTGTATATCCCTTTATATTATTATACTCATTTAGCCATTATTTAACAAAGGCTTAACTCCCATAAGAAAAACATTTCATATATTTTATCATTATATTAATTTCATATTTCATACTTCATCTCCATACTTTATTATCTACCATTGGTAAAACAAATCCCATATCAAATAGTATTGTTTATCTTCCTGTTCTCTAATTTCAAATGTCAATTTACTCATTTCAGCACAGTCCATAATTTTCTTAATAACTTCATCATCAGTAGATATCTTCTTGCCTTTCCAATTTTTAGCAAAAACAATTCTAGCCACTGTTAAAACATTCAGGATTAAATATCTCAGTTCTTTGTTATACATTTCTGGTAAAATCCCTAATAAAAATATCTCTGGTTTAAAGTCAATGTGTTTCTTTTTTTTTTTTTTAATTTTATTATAAATTAGAAACAAAAAACAGAATAAAGACTATAACGAAACACAACCACATACATACAACTGAGGTTGATTCAACCCCCATATATATATACAGTTTCTAAATAACATTACATATCATCAAACTACAGCTTCAATTTGGTTTATCATACTGCATCTTGCATTTGTTAATCTTCTTATATCTAATATTCCCTTATTTATATTTAGCTTGCTATTTACATATCTATGCTACATGCTTTCCTAACATCTGCCTCATGACATTTTTTCTTCTATCCATTGGTACCATTTATCCCAGCTTTGATTGAAAATTGATTCTTGTCTATCTTTAAGTATATATGTTAATCTATCACATTCTGCACACCACAAAATTTTGTTAATAATCATCTGATCCGATGGTACTTCCTTTCCTTTCCAAAGTTGTGCATATGCAATTCTAGCCGCAGTGGTAATGTGTATGAAAAGGTACCAGTCTGCTTTCCTTATGCCCCCAGGGTTTACTCCTAGCAAGTAGACCTCTGGTCTCAGTTGAAAGCTGACTCCTGTAATCTCCATGAGCCAAACTTTTATTTTACTCCAATAGTTTTGGGCTTGTAGACATGTCCACCATTGGTGGTAAAATGTACCCCTGGCTGACCCACATTTCCAACATTCTGCTGAGGTTCCAGGGAACATCTTTGCAATTCTTGCTGGTGGTATATGCCATCTATATAACATTTTAAATATATTTTCTTTGAAAGACACTGCCATCGTCATTTTCACATTTCTATTCCATATTTGTTGCCATTTTTCCAGATCTAATGAATATCCAAAATTCCTCCCCCAGGCTATCATCGAGTCTTTAACTATTTCTTCAGCTACAAATCGGGACAGGAGGAGGTTATATACCTTAGTGATACATTTCTTATCACCTTCCAGGAGGGCCTTATCGAACTCTTGTGGTGAAGTGAAACCCCCCCCCATTGGTTTTATCTTTTTGATATTTTGCTTGAATTTGTGCGTATGCCCACCATCCAAATTGACTCCCCGTATTTGTAGTTCTGCTTTAGATCTAAGATTTCCCCCACCGTCCAACAATTCCCTGTATATCACAGGTTTATCCAAGTTGTATAGAAATGGGTATATAGTCGCTTCAAGATCACAAACCAATATGGAATCTTACTATACATCATTCCTTTGATCTTATTCCATACCTTAATCAGACATCCCCTTACATAGTGATTTGTAAAATATTTATGCTGTCCTGCTTTGATTGGCCAGAGAAAATAATGCCATCCCTGCTGTAGATTATGCCCTTCAATTTTTAATATACGCTTCCTCTTCAGTATTATCCAATCTTTTACCCAAACCAGGCAAGAAGCTTGATAGTACCACTCCCAGTTGGGGAGTCCCAAGCCTCCCCTTGTTTTATGCTCCTGCATCATTTTCCTTTTAATACGTGGCTTTTTCCCTTGCCATATGAATTTTCCAATTATCTGATCCATTTTTCTAAAGAAACTTTTCTCTAATCTTGCTGGGGCCATTTGGAAAAGATATATCCATTTTGGCAGCACGTGTGCCTTTATCACTGCCACTCTTCCTAACAGGGATAGCTGTACTTTCCTCCACCGATCTAAATCCTGTTCCATTTGCAAGATGAGTTTATCATAATTATTCTTTTTTATTGAGGAGCATTTGGGATCAGCCATATGCCCAAGTATTTTACCTTTTTAGCTATTTGTATTCCCATCACATTTTCTATCTTCAATTTCCGTGTCCCCTTAAGATTTTTAACAAGTAATTTGGTTTTGTCCCTGTTAATTTGGCTACTGCACCAAATTCCTCAATACTTCTTAACAAATTTGGCCCCGAGGTCATTGGCTCCTCCAATATAAAGACGAGATCGTCTGCAAACGCTTGTATTTTAAACTCCTCTTTCCTAACATTAAGTCCTTTTATTTCTTTGTTTTGTCTGATTTGATTTAGTAAAGGTTCCAGAGTCAAAATAAATAATAGTGGGGATAGTGGGCATCCTTGCCTAGTTCCCCTACATATTTGTATCTCCTCTGTTGTTTCACCTTCAATTAACACTCTTGAGTATTGCACCGTATAAAGTGCCCAGATAGCTTGTGTAAAGCTAGATCCAAAATCCATCTCCTCAATTTGTAATAAAATAAAGTCCCAATTAACCCAATCAAATGCCTTTTGCGCGTCGAGGAACATTAGAACCATTTCTTTGTCTGTATGTGTTTCATAATATTCCAGTGTATCCATGATGGTTCTAACATTGTCTTGTAAGTATCTATATGGCAAAAAGCCGTTTTGATCTTGGTGGATGTATTCGTTTAAAAAAACCTTTAATCTTTCCGCTAATATTGATGTAAATATTTTGTAGTCCGAATTTAGTAGGGAGATAGT